TAAAGAAATCGTTTAGTGCAGCATAAAGTTACAGCTGCTTAATTATTGCAAAATCGTGTCGATCCCTTCTTCCTCCTTTAAAGAGATCAACTTTCCTCAGATTCTTCGCCATTGCACCTACATGGAACACCCTACTGAATATTGTTGCGATAATTCGCGTTTTTGCAGAAAATTTAAGGAGAAATGCTGAAGCGAATTTCTTCGCTACATTTGGTTTTCCTGCTTGACATCGTGGTCCAATATTTTTCGCAACTCCGTTCCTCCACGTTTCAACAGCCATTGGTGTGTTAAGCTTCAGTGCAATAAGATCATGCCACAGATCTAGAAAAGACTGCATTTAAAGTAGAAGGTAAGACATAAACAACAGCACACGATTTATACCGAAATGAGATTTTTTGTGCTTAGAAAATACTTTTAAACCCTTTCCACCGAGTGTTCGAACATGCCGAAGTGTTGCAAAGACAGTATCCTTTCGTTCGAGTGATTTTTTGCTAATTACGTCTGTCAGAATAGGAGCTCTGAAATCATTGATTTCACTTTATATAGACAAATATATGCTACTTTTGCAACTTACAATATCTTATGGAATATGGGTAAATTGTACATATATGGTATGATTTGAGCAAAACGCATGTAGTCGCCGACATCTTGAAGGACATTTGCATCGAGAGTAAGGCATAGAAAGGATTGAGCATTTTTGCTTCCACTTTCAGGATAATCGTACTTATCTAGTTATATTAGATCACAGAGGTATATATAGATAATTTGAGACGAGCATCAACAAAATGGCTCACTTAGAGGCGGAAAGTTTGGTACACTGTGTAGAATCCAAAATCCTAACTTTTCGTCAAATGCTGCAACTCCCTTGCTGTGACCACGTCCACTTTCTGCTCCTTTTCCAGGGACGCCATCGTTATAAGCAATATAGAATTTTTTCTAAAATTTCCTTTCCTGTGAACTCTTCGAGTACAGTAGCAACTTATTAGAGCAGCACCGTATCATTTGTGTATATCTGACTGATAGTAGCACCAATTGCAGAGTCTGAACTATTAATCAACTCTG